ATATATAACCACTTCTCATTTACAAACATGACCTGGCGTGCACTGACTGCATTGTAATGTACAAACCTACATGTTCAGGCATAGTAAAGTGATTGCAAATTTTAATCGCGATCACACTAAAATTAACCAGAGTTAACTCGATTAGTTTCACAGCCCTAATAAATATATAATGTTATATTTTTAGAACAGTTAGCTCTAAAAAGCTTTAGATTTTGACCCCCAAATTATAAAAGAAAAAACATTATGACCACAAATATCTTTGAACTGCACAAATGTTGCTAAAAAGTAAATAAATGAGAGCATGATGATAGCTCAACTACTTTTTTTAATTTACAACTATTGTTTTTACCTTTTATAACAGAATATGCTTTTTTCTTTGTAATTTTGTYATCTTTCTAGAGATTGTCTCAACCCCAAACCCCCAGTGTGTTTATAAAGGAGAACCTGCACTCCTCCTCCCTGTCGTTAGAGGGCGCTACATCAAACAGCCCGCCGGCGCTGAGGTGCTCGCTTCCCATTGGCCGAAGCCGCGGCAGCTTCCGCTGTCGTCACGCTCCAAGCAGCGGTTCTCAGTTTGGTTTACGGATGCTGAGCGGACCGGTTGGTACTCAGGCAGTAACGGGGTTTAAATCGGTTCCGACGGTTGTTGTTTGATTTTATTTTGGCGGCGGACCGCTCACATCGAACCGGACAGAGATGGCTCAGAGCTCCGCAGCAGCTGGCGGCGAGTCCTCGGCGAACGAAGAGGCTTTGAAGAGGCGGAACGTCGCTGTCATCACCGGCATCACCGGGCAGGTAGGAGAATCTGCACGGAGACAGATGCGTTTTTAAAAGGGATTTGTGACGTTTTGTTTGGTTTTGTGCTCGTTAAGCTTTTCGTTCCTGAAAAGAGTTATTTTTGTCTGGTTAGAAAGCAGGTGAACATTTTCGGTGCAGGAGCTGAAACTGGAGTTTATCTGGAGTTTCTGAGCAACCAGGAAATAAGATTTATTTCTGCTCCAGTTGAATATAAATCCTTGTTGTTTATGTGAAACAGGCTGAGTTTTTTACTGAATTGTTTGCATGTTTATATTTGGAAATCTTCATGCTTCGTGGCTCAGTTTAGTTTAGTTTTGACCTGACTCTGGTTCTGCTCCTCTTCTGTCGCAGTCTGAATATTTACAGTAATGAGGGCGTTGCTCCAGTCAGTCGTAGTGAAGGATGAGTTGAGTCAAAAAGCAAAGACTCTCTGGTTCCAGCCCTCAGCTGTGGTCTGAGGTTTGGATCAGGACTGAAAGAAAAAGATCCTGGATTCAAGCAACTGAAATGAGCTTCCTTCGTAGGGGGCGGGCTCAGACTGAAGGGGGAGGAGCTCAGACTGAGGGGGGAGGAGCTCAGACTTAGAGGGGAGGAGCTCAGACTGAGGGGGGAGGAGCTCAGACTGAGGGGGGAGGAGCTCAGAGTGGAGCTGCTGCTCCTCTGCATCAAGAGGAGTCAGTTGAGGAGGACAGTCACATCCATCCATCCATCCATCCATCCATCCATCCATCCATCCATCCATCCATCCATCCATCCATCCATCATCCATACATCCATCCTACATACATCCATAATCCATCCACCCATCCATCCATACATCCATCATACATCCATAGTCCATTCATCCATCCATCCATCCATCCATCCATCCATCCATCCATCATACATCCATCATACATCCATAATCCATCCATCCATCCATCCATCCATCCATCCATCCATCCATCCACCTGTCATCCATCCTACATCCATCCATCCATCCATCATACATCCATCATACATCCATAATCCATCCATCCATCCATCCATCCATCCATCCATCCATCCATCCATCTATACATCATACATCCATCATACATCCATAATCC